ATAACCGCATTATGTATCTTATTACAAATTTCTATACAACACGTGAAAAAAAAGATGAGATTGCTATTATATATTCAAATATTAGTGGCGGAGTGGAAGCGCTGTATTGTCAGCATTCAAAAAGCCAGATTCGCGCATGCACTTTACAGAGTACCAACATCACCCGGTTTAGCTGGTGGAAGCCTAGGACCTTGGGTGAATGCTACTGTATACTGCATCCAATTCTATCCAGGACCAGTTCTGGGCCGTTAGCTGCCTGCCCGCTAGGTATATGGTTGCCCTCGCCCGATTATGTGAATCATGAGTAGATTTATAACTTAACCCAACTGATAAGAATTTACTGGTATGTTTTTACAATAGTTTTGTATAGTTGACAGGAGTTAAAAAAAATCCATTAAAATATTTGATATTTTTATTCCGCTCTCCGATTTTATATTACTCACTGATTTCAATGTTAAACCAGTGATATTACAATTTTGTATGTCCCATCTTTAAGGGGATGTAGGAAAAAACGTGTACAATTCTTTTATAATGTTAAAAAATTAACCGTTACTTTGACAGCATCATTTACAACTAAATTTAATGAATGAGAGAGATTCACGAGGTATGGAAAAAGCTCTAGAATTTATTTTCCTTACATTTACGATTTATGTATTCGTCTGTCATAAAACTTTGTCTTTCCACTTTTTTCCCGACACTACAAATATTCGAGCACAAAGTAACTGGTTTTGACTTATTTCTACTTAAAAAATAGTTAAATAATTAAGCAATTAGGGAATTGGGGACATAAACAAAACCCTGATGAAAGAGCTGAAATTTTACTTAAACAAAAGCTTAGCCGAACCATCTCTAGCCGAGTACAGTGGAGACTGATTTCTTCGTATTATTAATGTAATAAAGACAGAAATTTTTTTAGTTCAACCAGAGTGACCGAAAAGTTGTAAATTTTGGAAATTTCTGAGGACACTTGGTCCTAAAACGAATTAGTTAGAAAACAAATGACTATTAAGTTTAACATATTTAGATTTTTACAGCTATGGTGAGAAACGTTTAAAATCTACAACAGCTCTGTTGCGTCTTTTGAGATATACTAGTGATGCAACAAAAGAGGTATTTGACATTGACCAGTATCGGCACCTTGGGGATTTGGCAGTCCGCGTGTATGTGCGCTCTACAACTGTCTTCGATTCCATTCATTAGCCACTCATAGGGAGCTATTTGACTAAGTGCATTATTTTAAGATTTAAAAAGTAAAGGAGATTTTATATTTTTATGTACGTTTCTTTACAAAGCTATATTTAATTATAATTTTCTTTAAAAGTATATTGGGTATGTCCCTATATTTC